GAGCGTTGCCACCTGTTCAAAAAGTTAAAATCAATTTCTTGATAGGTTAAATCAACTACGTAAACATGGGTATCAAACGAGAAGGGTTAAAGAAAACTTTGCTTCGAAAATATGTTTGAAGAGGGTTGCCAGCTCTTCAGAAATTTTAACTCAATCCAACTGAGAAAGGTTTAAAAATCTTTATTTCGTAAATATTTTTGAAGGGGGTTGCCACCGATTCAAAAAGTTGTAGTTAATATAGTTTCGTTTCGAAAAAAATGTTGAGCAAGGTGTGCAAATTTAAAATTAATTTAATTTAAAAGTTCAATGAAATTTTGTATATGGGTATACAACGAAGTTTTTTTTTACGTTTTAAAAAGGCTTAATTCCGATACAATTTTTTCTTAGGTTTACCACCTGTTTAGAACTTGAAAATCAATTGTATTAACAACTTAAATGATGTATACATATGTACGTGTAAAAAGAAAAATGTTAAGATAGCGTTATTTCGATTTTGTATTTGACGAGGGTTGCCACCGGTTCAAAAGGATACAATCAATTTAGGTGATAAGTTAAATGAAATACTAGAATGCGGGTATCAAACGAGACGGATTTAGGAACTCTTTGTTTCGAAAAAAGTTTTTAAATAGGGTGGCCACCTATATAGAAATTCAAAATTAATTTAATTAGAAAATAAATGAGATATGCATTTGCATATGTGTATAAAATGAGGGAAATTTAAGAAAACTTGATTTCCTAAAACTTTCCGAAGAGGGTTGTCACCAAAACCACATAAGTACTTATCAAAAAGTGTATATGGGTCATTCCATACAATATTTACACCTAAATATTTTTTTTTTGGGGTGAAATATATTTTCCTAAATTCTTTCGAAAAAAGAAGACACCTAGTTTTTATTTCGTCATGATATTCGAAAATATCGAAAAACAAAAATTCCCGAAATTTCGAACTCACGGAGAAGTATCTTTTTTTACTTGTTTGTAGTTAATACATTTTTTGTCGGAGAAAATCAGTTAAGATATCAAAATGTGCGACTTTCTATGAAGTGTGAGATAGATTAAAATAAATAAAAAATTCCACCAAAAATTGGATTTTTTTATTAACTTCATCATGTTAGATTTTTATTTTTTTTTCAACCTGAATAGTTGTCAAACTTTATCCACTAACCCTGAAAACTCGAAACACCAAAACTATAGATGTTACGAGTTTTTTCATACCTGCGTACATAAAGTTTGTACTAAAGTTTATACTATTATTATTATTATAAATTTGTGCTATAAGCCTTCTACTCATATATATATATATATATATATATATATATATGTAGTACGTATGTACAATTGCATATATATAGAAGAGATCCTAGCTGAATTGCTGAATGTAGACAAATTTGTTCAACGGCATGTTATATGAGCTCATAATTATTCTAAAGCACAACTGCAACAATTTGTAAACTGTCACTCAACAAAATGGAAACAATTAATTTTACATTATCATTAAAACAATGATAACGGGATAGTTGTTACAGCACAAAGATGGTGGATGAAAACAGTCATAGAGGAATGGATGCATGAAAGTCTATTATGAAAAGCAAAGATTTCGTAGGGTAGAAGTGCAATGAAAAAGTTATAATTTTTCCAGCTTGACAGAAACTCTCGGCTCGTGCTGCAATTTAACGAAGGATTAAAGCAGGAAAAGGAAAATACGGTAAACATATATATGTATGTACAAATGTATATGTTTCCGAATATGCATTGTGTTTGTAGGGAGGAGACTACCCACTCACAAGTACTCGCACATAATTGGTGCCTTGGCTGCTCTATTGTTGTTTGCTTGCCAAGTACAGCAGCCGTTACAGTCACCGTATCGAATTACGTGTCAATTGAGTTTACAAGAGCCAAGTACTTCCTTCCCGGCGATGCTTGGGTAAACGTGTACGTAGTTTTCACACAAACAAGTAAACATACTTACTTGTTCTCATAGAATGAATCCCAATGAAAAAAACAAAGCAGTTTCGGTTGATAGTCGCTTCTTCCACGGCTATGATTTTACTGCATGCTCTCGGAGTGCCCGGTCCTTGATGACTGGTTGATGTTCTTGGAAAAGCTAAGTTTGACATCACCATCAACCCAAAAATGTGATGAAAGGGAAAGTTACATAAAAACACGTGGGACATTGCGGCCTCTACAATAGCTGCCATGAGTTGACACAGAGCAGAAAAAACTGGCCTACATTCGGTAGACATCACTAAGTCGATTACAGCGCCAACCAAGAAGAAGAAAAATACATCAGTTTTCCAGATATATTTTGACTAACAGAAACAAGCGACTCTCTTTATAACTCTCTCTATAGCTCATACAACTAGTAAGTAGAGTCCAAATTAAATAAAATATTCTCCAAACGTTTCATTAAATTTGCTTCATTAGCCTAAAACTTAAAAGGCAGCATATTACTCATCTTGAAAAAGCTTAATTTCGACTTTGTCAACACAAATTATTTTCCAAATTTAATTTCTATTTCTATTTTTTTTTTTTACTATAAGCGTATAGAATAAGAGGATTCTACAAATTTGGATCTAAAACTAATTTGGAGTTTGCCACATTGCGCAAATAGGTTTCGAAGAGAATATGAAAATTTTCACTATTGCGCCCTCTAGTGGAAGTTTTATGAAAAATATGAGTGCAGAAATTGATTCCTCATACCAAAAGACACCATATAGCATGTTTTTATAAAAAATGTAAGCACTGCTTTACGACACTACAGCAAAATGCTAGGAAACCTATTTTCGCAATTTGGAAAATTTCAAATCTATTTTAGACCCATTGCTTCTTCAACAAATTCGCTTAGCATTACACGTAGAATCCTTCTAGTCTAGAAGCGTATAGTAGAAAAAATCTGCTATACAAATGTACATTAAGGTGCCTCGCCAAAAAAAAAAAACGACTTGTGAGTGTTCCACGGGAATTATACAATTCATTATGTTTTAAGAATTTCGCCAAAATATTTCAGAAAGATATTCGGATTTACGTGAGCTGGACCAATTTGAAAATACCTCCGAAAATGTAAACTGAGGAAGTACTAAAATAAAATAATTTAAATAAAATAAAATAATTTAAACCCCGTACCGATTTTTTTGACGTAGAATACGTCTTACCTTAAGGTATGGGGGCTATGTTCAAATGTTGTAGTTGTAATTTTTAGAGCTTCACAAAAACGCTTATTGCACGAGAACTAATAAAGCGATTTCAAAGAAAAGTGTGGCGTTTCAAAGATAAAATTCCAAACCTGTCGACAGACCAATTCGGTTTCTGTCGTAAAAACAACGGTAAACATTGCCTTATTTTGGGGTCAATTTTGAGCCTTTAAAGTGCTCTAGCAACTTATTGTTGGCATATATAACTTTCATTTTCGGGATATAGGTTCTTTGGAGCAGTAGAAATATTATCGGGTACAAATTTTATATAAATTTAACAAATATTGAGCATTTTAAGGCAAAAAATTTTTGAAAAAATTTGCAAATTTTTTTCATTACCAAAATGCTCGAAAACCGCTAGAATGATTTTATTTTTGTTTTCTTTAATCAAAAATTCAAGAGTTTTCCTTTCGTTTGGTATATGGGAAGTATTGGTTGATATCTTCTATATATGTTTATTTTATTCAAATATATGGGCATAAATGATTTTCCATACAAAATCACCTCGTCATCATTTTGCAAACACGTGCATATGTTGGAAGTGTGGGAAGGAGACAAAAAGTATGTATGCGTATGTAATGCGGCTTTTGATCGCAGCGTATGTACATATGTAAATGCATATATACGTACATATGAAAGTTTCAGTTAATGTGGATCTGTTTGGTTTTGTTATCGATATTTTTATCGTTTTTGTTATCGATTTTGCTATCGATTTTGTTATCGACATTTTTATAGATTTTGTTGCCGATATTTTAATCGATTTTGCCATCGATATTTTTATCGGTTTTGTTACCGATATTTTCACCGATTTTGTTATCGAAATTTGTATCGATGTTGTTATTGATTTTGCTATCGATATTTTCGGAACTTATCGATATAATGATCGATATTTTTATCGATTTTGTTATCGATTTTGTAATCGATTCTGTTATTGATTTTTTTGATTATTGATTATTTATCGGTTTTGTTATCGATATTTTTCTTGATTGTTTTAACAATTTTGCTATCGATATTGTTATCGCTTTTGTTATCGATATTTTTGTCGCTTTTGTCATCAATATTTTTATCGATTTTTCTATAGATATTGTTATCGCTTTTGTTGTCGGTATTTTTATCGGTTTTTTTACCGATTTTGCTATCGATATTGCCATCGCTTTTGTTATCGATAGTTTTATCGATTTTTTATCGAATTTATTACCGATTTTGTAATGGATTTCTTGATAGATTTTGTTATCAATTTTGTTATTGACTTTGGAATCGATTTTGTTATCGATTTTGTAATCGATTTTTCGATAGATTTTGTAATCGATTTTTTATCGATTTTGTAATCGATTTAGTTAACGATTTTGTTATCGATATTTTTATCGATTTTGTTATCGATTTTATTATCGCTTTTGTTATCGATATTTTTTTCTTAGTTTGTGCTTTCGTTTTTGACTTGGATATGCTCTTAACCATACCACGTATTCTACGTTTAAATTTAGCGGGTGTATCTCCGATACAGCCTGCAGACCAAGACGAAGGCGCTGGACTGTTCCTTTTTTTTTTGTATGGAAAGTGCTGCGTACTAACGTACATACATATGTACGATATCCACTTTTATTTAGTTCTCACGCTACATAAGTTTAAAGCGTTTGCGGTTTTCAAGCTTATCAAAAATAAATAGTACAATGCATTTATTGAAACTTGCACAAAAAAGAACAAGAGAAACCACAGATTTGCAAATGATAATTCACCACATTCACATGTCTCCAGAATAGTATAAAAGCTCCTAGAATTCATCAAAATATCACAGTGTCACACAGTAATTCATTGCAAACTAAACTTCACTATGTCTTCAGAGCAAAATAAGAAAGCACTAAATTTGCTTTTCCAAAATCCCCTGGAACCGGTATTTGCCGCACGTGATGATGGCAAATCCATACTAGACGTACCGGATAGCTTCTATACCGAGAACTACACCGAAGTAAAAGAGGACATACAGAATCGTTTCGGCGCGGAGGTCGATGTGAAAATACCCATTCGGGAATTGAAGCAAAAGCCCAATTTAGAGTTTGCCAATGCGCTACGCAAGCGCCAACAATTCTCACTCTTCTATCAACCACATCGCCGTATTGCCGCGCAGCTCATTCAATTGCTGATTGAACCGCCCACCGAGGAGGATTTCATTTCGTTGGCCGCCTTTGTGAAAGATCGCGTCAATGCTTTCCTCTTTCAGTATGCCTTTTCGGTGGCAGTACAGCATCGCAAGGACACCGCTAACTTCCAGGTGCCGGTAATTAGCGAACAATTTCCGCAAAACTTCGTCGAACCATCGGTGTTTCAAGATGCTCGCGCCGAGGGCAAGCTGGTCACCGATCCAGGTAGTCGGGTAAGTTTCACATTGGCATACAGCAGTGAGCCGAAGAGTTTAATATTTTCTTAAAGCGTCGCATTGAAATTCCGCCAAATTTCACCGCATCCGATCGCGAAGAAGAGCAGCGCTTGAGCTACTTCCGCGAGGATATTGGCGTGAATAGTCATCACTGGCATTGGCATTTGGTGTACCCCGGCTCGGGACCCGAGGAGGTGGTACGCAAGGATCGCCGTGGTGAATTGTTCTATTACATGCATCACCAGCTGATGGCGCGTTACAATGTGGAGCGTTTCTGTAATAATTTAGCCAAACTACAACCACTCAACAATATACGCGAACCCATTATTGAAGGTTACTTCCCGAAAATTTTGAGCAGTCTCAACAATCGCACCTATCCGGGGCGTATAGCAAACACAAAATTGAAGGATATCGATCGTGATGGACGCGTAATGGAGTTGGCCGATATTGAGCGCTGGATCAATCGTATTGTACAGGCCATCGATCAGGGTTATGTAACAGATGTGAGTATATAGCAACTAGAGTGTAAAGAAAATATCATAAAAACATATATACCCCTCACACGCAGACAAGAGGCACCAACATTCCGCTGGATGAGATCAAGGGCATCGACTTACTCGGCGATCTTATGGAGTGCTCCGATCTCTCCGTCAACCCCGGCTTCTATGGCGATCTGCACAATCAAGGACACAATTGCATTTCATTTTCTCACGATCCCGATAATCGGTTCTTAGAAGATTTTGGCGTAATGGGTGATGTGACAACAGCTATGCGTGATCCGATCTTTTATCGTTGGCATGGTTATCTCGATACGCTATTCAATCGCTTTAAGGAGAAGTTGCCAGTATACAGCGAACCGGAGCTTGGCTACAATGGTGTGTCGGTGACACGCGCTGATGTGCGCATCATAAGTTCATCGAAGAATATCATCAACACACTGCTTACTTATTGGGAAAAATCCGATGTTGACTTGGCCGCTGGTCTGGACTTTGGGCCAGGCGGAAGTGTTTATGCCTTGTTCAGACACTTGCAACACTCACCCTTCGAATACTTAATTGAAGTGAACAACGAGACAGGCACGGTTAAGCGTGGCACTTGTCGCATATTCCTCTGTCCCATCACCGATGAGCGTGGCACACCATTAACCTTGAATGAACAGCGTCAGCTAAGCATAGAGTTGGACAAGTTCACTGTGAATTGTGAGTATATCAGCGTGAGCAGCGGGAAAGGAGTAGACTTAAAAGGAAGTTGAGAAAGCAAAAAAGTAAAAGGAGGCAGTGAGCAAAAGCTTTATAAGCTGCCTCTTTGCTACTCTTACTTTGTGGCTACTTTCACTCCTAAACTCAAACTCATAATTTATTTATTTATTTTTTATTTTAATTTTTCAGTAATGCCTGGCGTCAACAAAATCAATCAGTCCTATGATAACTCCAGTGTTACTATACCCTATGAACGTTCCTTCCGTAGATTAGACAAGGCCCATTTACCTTCTGATCCAAGCAAATTGGCTGAATTCCGTTTCTGCGGCTGCGGTTGGCCAGCACATATGTTGTTGCCAAAGGGAAAACCTGAGGGCATGCAATTTGAACTATTTGTAATGATTTCGAACTATGACGATGATGCAGTGCTGCAGAGAAACGATGAGTGAGTAGTACTTGGAATCTTTAGAATATAAAATTTTGTTACAAAATTATTTCCTTTCATTCTACTTTACAGACCCGATGTATGCGGTGACGCTGCTTCATTTTGCGGTCTGAAAGATAAATTATATCCCGATAAGCGTGCTATGGGCTATCCGTTCGATAGACGCTTGCCGGCTGACACATTGACGGCATTGACTGATCACTTCAGCAACATGAAAAAGACGCCGGTGCAGATAATCAACCGCAATGAGGTTGTTGAAAGGAAACGCACTTAGGCAATTACATGGGACATAAATCTGAATTGAAAAAAAGACTGGAAACGATAATGGATTTTTAAACTGACATATTATTAAAATACTTAACTACCCACTTCAAATACTTATTACCTTTTACAAGATAAATTAAGCAAAATGCCTTATATTTGTATGTATGTATATATGCATGTATGTATATGTGTAAAACTCTGCAAGATATGTACATATGTATGTAGGTATTCAATAAATTCAAACATTCAATAAACACTTTAATTAAAATAATTTTAGATTTTTTGTTTTCGAAATAATGCTGCATTTATTCTGCCCTCCGCCAGGGTTGTATATTGTGCGTACATATTCTCTTATATCAGCATCTTCACAGACATATTGCGTACCCTTTATTTAAAATGTTGCACTGTGATAATGTTGCCATATAATAATGTGACATTTCTTTCGCGAAAAGAAAACGCCATCAGTTAAGATGGTAAATTCGCACTTTTTCCAGTTGGGAAATATACTTCGAGGTAAATTTGTAAATAAATAATTTTATAACCAGCCAGCAGAAACTCACAGTAAACGACTTAAATTTTTGTATACGAAAAACGTTCGAAAAAGATCATGTTTTTGAACAATTTGGTCCATACCCCTTTTTTTGTCCATGGACACATTTTTTTGCTTGGAGACAGCAGTCTGTGTCTACTTCAAGGTCCTGAGCTTAGCGCTTACCATCTATATCAGAGGTTCCCAAACTTTTTTTTTCTCATAGACTCCTTTCAAAAATTTACTGGTTTCAGTGGACCCCTCCTCATGCATTTCTAAATATTCAGAAAGCTAGAAAATCGATGACAAACAACCAAGCAAGCAATAAGCACAAAAAGTGTTCCACCATCTCATCCTCTTCAAGGCAGGATGAACAAATGGACTTGTCATTTACGCTTATGACTGTCAGGCGTTTGTGCCACGTTAAGTGACTAGTCAGCAGTCCAACAAGTTTTCTGCAGTGTCGTCTGCTCAGTAAGATCAAAAAACTAGATAGATCTTCTGAGATTAAAGGAAATATGAGTTTTGCCCACCTGCATCCCCTCGAAGCTTCGATGGCCGAAAGTGGGTGTGCTAAAACTGGTTGCGGACCGAGGAATGCCTGGTCTGAGCCAATTCTGGCCAAATGGCACCCAGAGTAAAGCAAACTTGTTATGTTTACCAAGATAATTTAGTCGAGGCTTGCATTGCCGAACTAGTTTGGAAGTAGTTACAGGGCTCGCCAATGCCTTAAGTGCAGCTTGGTTATCACTGTAGACACCTAAACTCCTTCTTCTCCACCTATGTTCCACCACGTAGTCCATGGCTTTGAGGATTGCAATTACCCCAGCCTGGAAGACCGAAGCGTATTCCCCAACAGAAAAGTGAAGCTTATCCCCATTAACTTTCAAAAAGACCCCAGATCATGACACAGAGTACTCAGTGCTGTACCAACATCCGGTTCTTTTTAGTCTGCAGGTGGACTTTAAGGTTTTCCTACGTATGAAAACACAAAGTGACGGTAAGCGCAGCAGTGCGTCAAGAGCACTATACACCACTCAAAAAAATTTTATTGAAATAAAGAGGCTATCGAGCAACCATTTTGGTTCTTTACTATCGAAACCATTTAAATTTTCGTGGACCCCCACTTTCAACTCATGGACCCCCGCCCCACCCCCATTTTTTTCACGCCAACGTAGACCCCTGTCGAGTGTCCCGCGGAGCCTTGGGTTCCAGCTGGACCACTTTGGGAATCACTGATCTAAACCATGGAAAATTTAACAAGTTAAAAATTTAAGTTAAATAAATAGGCTATCGAGGAACCATTTTGGTTCTTTATACGGTGTTCGCATGAGGCGATTTTACAGGCAACTTTTAGTTGAAAGAAAAAACTGTATACTAGTAGTCAACTAATTGCTTCCAATGAAGTTGGGGTGCAGCCAACTTTTGATTCAACTAATCGCCCCTAAAATTGCCTGGAAAATCGCCTCCACCGTTTTACTATCGAAACACCGTTTTACTATCGAAACCATATATATTTTCGAGGACCCCCACTTACAACTCATGGAGCCCCATATTATATCCACCTGGCCCAATTTGGGAATCACTGGTTTACAAGCACCTTTACAAAAGCGGCAATTTTTAAAAGGAATATACGAACTAGAACAACCCTCAACAATTGCTTTTAAAAACTTGTTCGTTTGCTGTATTTTTGTGATATTTTTCTAAAGTTTTTATATTTTAACTAAACATACTATTCGGTGCGTGTTGCTTAACCAGAAACAAATGTCAGGACCACTCACTTAAAACTTTTTGATAATAACAAATATATGTATGTATGTCCGTTCGTCGTTATGAAAACATTTTCACTTGCATATGAATTTTTAAATTCATATTTAATTATATTTTTATTCATATGAACATGCAATGCACATGACCGCCCACAACACACATGTGTGTAGGTACTTATTTAATACAGCATAAAACTTTTTCGGTTTTCCTATGTCCTTTGCCTCCCAAAAGAGAGTACATATGTATGTAGACTTGCTTACTTCCAAGGGTTTGCAGCAATTTAAACAGCATGTACCACAACAGCCACAGTAAGTTGTGGGTCTTAACTTAAATATACATACTTAGGAGTTGATTTTCATGCTTGAATATGTGAAACGCACACCTACACTCAATTTTATGTAATTGTACAGATGTTTGCTATATGTAAGAGGTATGCACTTTACAAAACTAAAATTCAAGCTTTCCACTTTTCCTAACCCAATTTCAATTAAATTCTACAACAAATACTAAATACATATTCAGAAATAATTTAAGACACTCATACGGCCAAATGTTGGATTGGTTAGGCTGGGTCAGGAGGTGACATGCCAGCATGTGGATGCTTCCAAGGTCTACCACATGGAAAATTACTTACAAATATAATGAATGAACGGTGGCATACAATCTACCACTTCTAGAGAGCAGTCCAAAGCACATTTAGAACATATAACCTAAAACGCTTCAAGAACAACTTAAGAATTCTTACAGGAATCCTGACAGGACATTGCACGCTGAACTAAGTATCGCCTGACTAAACTGGGAGTATACTCGCATGAGCGATGCAGATCAGAACGGAAAACGAGACTGCACAGAACAACTTAGAAGAAGAATGCCCTGTACTGTTGCACAAACGCAAAGGCACCTGGGTGAACATTTGATAACCAAAGGCGAAATGAAATCCGTAGATTTGGGTTCCATACTAAAGTTTCTCTCGCATACTGGATTAATAGACAGACTATAAATCCATGCATCGGGCACAATAGATCTTAAGGTCGCAGTGCTCTATCCCCAACAGTAATAACAATAATAATAATAATAATAAGCACTGGGTCAAACCGATTTGTGTGGCTTCAGTAGCTATTTGGGCATCCTCTTCTTTTAACGAATCGAATCCTAACCAAAGTAAGTAGTAAGTGATGCTGACGTAGTAAGGATTGAACATCGATTAGACAAGGAATGAGTCCGTTGACAGGATAAAGGGGTTTTGTTTCGCATTGTGCCCTTATTGTATACGACCATCTATATATACATACATATAACGCAATAGTTCATATATTGTATGTTTCTGTATTTTATTTGATATTATAATAAATTTCCCAAGGGAAGGTTCTACTTCCCTTTTATACATGTCTGTGGACATTTGACAAAACAACCTCTTTTAATATTACAAATTTTTCAGCAGACCGAAAAAACATATTCATTGCTTTCCAGTTTCATACTCACTCACTGAGTCACTCATCATGCCCGTGCTGGTGTATGACAGTTTTTTGAGTATTCGAAGGAAATATTTTGCCGAAGGTTTACGGATCTTTACGCGTTAACGATGGCGAGTACCTTAGACGATGGAACGACGAGCTGTAGGAACTTTACAACAAGATGGACATTGTACAGCGAATTAAAATACAGTGGCTCCGTTGGCTTAGCCATATCGTTCGAATGGACCGAAACGCTCAAGCTCTGTAAATATTCAACTCGGAAACCGCTGGATGTAGCAGAGGATTAGGAAGGCCCCCACTGGCAATTACGTTAGATGATTTATTAAAAAGGCTAACGAAATTAGGCGTCTATGAATTATTGATGAACGCACGCATGTTTAAATAGTTACGAAAGGAATGAACGGCAGGATTTACAAATAGAAACACTAGCTGAATAATAAAAATCACGCATAAAGTTTTATAATTGCTTAAGTAAATAACCCTTTTTAACGTCAACATGTATGTGTGTAAACATTTGCTGATATTTACTCGAAAGAAAAAGGCATTGTTCAGCACAAAAAAAAAGTTAGTCTAAACATATAAATACATTCATACGTGTTAGTAAGTAAGTACTATTTAAGACCTACTGTATACAGCAGTCCAATCAAGCCTACGCTTTATATGCTTTCTGTTCTTCGCAACACCATCTTTCTTTTGCGCACTTTCACTGTCCAACTTCCACTTCGCTTTACTTTCAAATGACGTCTAAATAACTTTTACTTAAGCAAAGCGAACGTGAAATAATGAAAAATTAATAGACCTCAGGGAAGTAAAATGATAATATCCACTAACATGTCATCCTTAAATTGCCACCGAAAAAAAGTTAAAAAAAAAATAGAATGAGAATTCCTTTGCCTAAGCAGATAGAAAAGTGGTGCATACTAGTATGTAGTAATGGAAAACATATCTACGAACACACACATATGAACACCTACAGAGCTTAACTAACTTAAATAATAGCAAAAGTAGCTTAGAATATTAAATTTCATAGCTGCAAGCATGTATACTCTCTTCGTTTGTGAGTATGTGTGTACGTGTATTTTGCGTTTCTTTTTCACTGTAGGACTTGGCTTTTTTTCAGTTACTTTCCTTGTAATGCAAAATGCTATCAAATTACTAGCAAATGACCTAGACAAAATTATATAACGAGACTGCTGTGCTTGCCGAAATGAGGGCACTTAATGGAATGTTGCATTTCATTTCGAGAAACAGACATTTTGTGAAATAAATAGCAGTACAAATCTGACAAAATTTGTGAGCGTAGAAAAATAGAAAAAAATAGAGTACCCATCCAAGAAAGTCTGGCAAAGATTTTACGACCAAAAAAATTTTTGTTTAAAGTGAAAACCATTTCGTTGCTATTCATTAACCATTCTTAATTTGATTTTTACGCATTTTCCTGTTGAATGCATTTGTTCTTTTGTTCGCAACTTCTAGCCAAAATTTTCACAAAAAA